TGAACTGTTTGATACTCCTACTCCTCCAGGAAGCCTCCATAAGTAAAACAAAAATGGAAGAGTCCACACCTTATTTGCTTGCTGTGCCTAGCTTCCTATAATAAGACCTGAGGAAGAATGTCATATATTTGAAAGCTTGTCTCACTTTATCCCAACTACATAGTTGTTCCAATAAAAGATCCCACCGTAAAAAAATTCTTGCCTCTCTTGAAATCTTTGGCTCTTCTAGCTATTCCATCAGACAATGGCAGCTTGCTTAGGATTCAGTTCAAAGCGGTGTCTCAGACAGTCACCATAGGCTGTGACTGAAGTAACTTTCTGTGGAATAGAGAAGCCCTAGCTGAGGGTCCTGCTGATGAGCAGGGATCCTGGTTTTCTCTGATTTTAAAAAAATCCCCAATTTTTGGGTTAAAGAAGTAACTCCTAAATCCACATTTTTCCATGATTAAAACAAAACACCATGAATACATAGATATCTTTGTAGTGGCATTTCATTTTAATCACGGAAGAATGTGGATTTGGGCTTACCCCAATTTTTGGTTTAAAAAAAGTATTTTTAAATCGGAGAAAACCAGGATCCCTGCTGATGAGCATCCTCTTCTTCCTGATCCCACTTGCTCTGTCCCAAGGACCCCGTTGGTAGTTTGGGGGGACCTGTTAGGATTGGGACAACTTGGTCCAATCCTCTCATAATTGGTAGGATTTTATCTTTCAGTCACTGTGGAAAATCCTGTTTATGACTTACTGCAGTCAAGCAAAATAGGTGTTTTCAAAAAAGCACAAAACCCCAGAATTTATAATGGGATTCATACTGGGAAAATCTACTATCAATTTTTCATTTGGGTAAAGGACCTAGGGTCTCATGTTTAGCAGCAACCTTACTTCGTTTTAAAATACTTAATGACTTCAACAGCACATGAAATAACGCCTCTTTTCCCTCCTTGACCTGTAGTCACCACATCTTTTCAGTGAGCAGGGAAGTTAAAGAAGTAACCTAGGGTTAATTCTAGGTATAGTTTTATAACTTTTGCCTTAAAAAAGAAGGAATTGTTTCTCTGTTGTTCTTAGAATAACTACCCTTTTCTGTAACATAATGAGAATTTCTTAGACCCTAATCAAATCTGGCAATCTTCCACAGAGCATACAAGAAATAAAAGTATGACTACATGCCCAGGAATTGAGAGAGACAAATTAAGCCAAAAAGCTCAAAATGCAAAATTCTGGCATTCATATTTGGATTGAATCACTCTCAGCAATGCCTTTTAAGGTGGTTTCGTTGGATCTCTTCAGTGTTGCCTACCTCCACTCAGGATAATATATTGTTTTTTGAAGGAAAATTTGCAGTTAGGCCAAGATGCAGAACAGTTCTTTGGGACATTTAGGAAATTAAACAAAGTTGTTCCCTTTTCATTCTGTTTTAAATACATCAGGAATGTGTCTGATAGGTGAAATATTCCCTAAAACTCTTTGTACAGTAATTGTTGCTGATATATTAATTCAGGAAAGAAAACATTTCACTCTACCAGGGAAGGCACAATATTTCTTACTTCTTGAAGTAGAAAATGATAAATCATCTGAATTTAGTTATGGGTGTAACATTTGTAACATTTATAACCCATTTTCACATAGTCACGACTTCCTCCTATTTGTTTTCCTTTTCAGCTGACACTCTCCATTCCTGTTCTTAGCCCAAAGATTAATATGTTTTAGTTGTTAAATTCTGAGCCAGAGCTATTCAGCTGTTTTTGGGTTAGGCAGTTAGGGAAATATCTCTCTCTCTCAAAAAATGCGTATTAGTCTTTTCTTACGCATGGACAACTAAAATATAGAATCTGTAAAACATCACATTTTGCATATTGCTGATCTCAAATAAGCAAGAACTGCTTGTAAGATTTATTTTTCTTTAAAAAAGAAACTGGTGAGTTAAAAAATAACTTTTCAACATGCACAGTCAATATCAATCCTTTCAGGTTTTGCAGGAAAGCCATTTGTTGCAGTACTGTGGGTTTGGTGACTCCATAATACCATCTTATTAAACTTCAAAGTTATATGGACAACTTGTTCCTGTATGTAGACAGGGGTGTGGTTGTTCCTGTATGTAGACAGGCCTGTCAATGGCATCAGTGGCTAACTTGGGAGCAGGCAAAATACAGTCCTTGGCCTGGATCCAGCCAGCCAACTAACTGGATCCAGCCTATGGCTGCCCCTGCAATGCTCCACATGGGGCTGAGCCCCACCTGGGCAGCCTGTGCCTGCACTCACCCCGGACCCAGCTAGCACGCAGCTCCTGGTGGGGCTGTTCCCAGTGCAGCTGCAGCCGGCTCAATGTTCCTCTGCTCCCCTCACCTCCAGCAGGAGCAGCCAGGCTGAAGCTCCACCACCATCCCTCCCCACCTACTCAGAGTGTGCAGCAGGGTCAGGAGTGGGAGGAGGAGTGGCTGCTGGAGGCAAGGTGAGCACAGCAGCACTTGGCTGGCTGTAGCTGCACCCTGAACAGCCCCACCAGAAACTGCACACTGACCAGGGCCAGTGGAACTGTTCTTCTCCCCTCACCTTCAGCTGCAGCTCCTGCTGTGCTGCTTCAAGCAAGTTGGCAGGGGGGAGCTTCAGTGGGAGGCTCCTGCCCAATGCATGGAGATCCACCTCCAGGTCCCAGCTGCCTTCCACCCACTCCATCCACCCACAGGGGCTGCTCTTTAAACTGGGCAGGTGGAAGGCAACCAGGAGCTGGAGCTGGAACTCCGTATGCTGGGCAGGAGCCTCCCACTGGAGCTTCCGCCTGCCCACCCAGATCAGCATGGCAGGGGTGGGGGCAGAAGCAGCAGCCTTGGTTGGAGCCAAGGGAAGCCGAACAGCCCAACTGGCCCTGGCCAGCGCGCAGCCTGGCCTGGCACAATGTGATTCTGGCTGCAAGGCCAGACACCACATGCTGCAGCGTGGAACCAGTGTTGCCCAGCCCAGCCCAGCTGTGGCGCACAGTTCCCTGCTGCAAGGCCAGGACCAATGTGGCATGGCATGGAGGGAATGGGCTGGGCTGGGATGCCTCAAGGTTGCACTGCATGGGTCCCAGCCTTGGAGCTGGGAACTGCGCCACAGCTGGGATGGGCTGGGCTGGGTTAGTTCTGTACCGCACCGTGCAGACCTCAGCCTTTCAGCTGCAGCCATGTTGGGCTAAGCTGGGCTGACCCAGTGTCATGCCGTATGGGTCCCAGCCTTGCAGCCAGGAAGTCTGCATTGCAGCCAAGATGAGTTGGGTGGGGCTGGCTCCCAACCTCCTGCCAGACCCCCAACACACATCCACAGCCCCCCCACACACACACACTCCCACCCCCTACCACAACCCCCACGCAGTTCCACATACCTCCACCATAACCCCACACACACCGACACTCTCCCACACCCCCCACTATACATACCCTCAAACACACCCACACCCTCCACACACATTTCCACCCTCCCACAGCCTTGTCTCTCTCTCCCACCATTGATCACCTTTTCCACTCGGTCTTCATTCACTGCCTCTCTTGTTTGCACTCTTGTCTGTTTAAACATTCCTTTCATCCATGCCTCAGCTTTCTTCCTCCATTAATTTTTCCTCCCATACACACTTATTCTCAGCCACTTTTGCCCAGATTGATTTATCTTTTCACATACTAACTTCCCAAATGCACTCTTCCACGTACCCCCAACACTTACGAACAGGTCAGGGGAGTGAACTATGAGGATTTTCTTCTTCCTGCTCCCATTACAGGACACTGGAGAAGATATTCCCTTACCCACCTTTATTCCTTCTCACTTGAAGGACCTCCTGGAATTAAATGATGTTCTTCTCCTCCTCCACCTTCAAGATGTCTCTGAATATTAATTACTGCTAGTGACCCATAAAGATTACTCAGCACTTTGTGTGGAACAGAGGCACTTGGTACTTCCACAGTCAGGCCTACAAGTTGTATGTGTTTGTAGCTTTTTATATCAAAAAAGGAATAGTGTTAGGGGCAGAATAGTAGTAAAAAATGAAAAGCTTTGTGAAAAACCAGGGCTAGCTTGGACAGCTGTCCTCTGTTTTTGGCCCTCTTTGCTCATGAACAATCTGGGAAGTGGAGACACGGTTTGAGACAGTCAGTGGTTTAAGACTTGGAGATTATCCTGCTGCCCATATCTACGTGCATTAAACACAAGTTAAACACTGCAGAACCATGTATTTGGAAACCGTTTTGAGAACAATAAAAATTCTTATGAAGCAAAGAAACCTGATAATTCCATTGAAACAGATAGGTAAGAGGTTGTTTAATTAAATCAGTGCAACTGACATTGAAGCATGTTTGAAAGGGTCAAATATTCCAATGGTTATTCATGTTCAAGCTTGCTTTTCAGAGCTCCATTTCTTTGCAGCATGTGGAGGCATGGCAGAGCAGCATGGAATATGGCTTGGCCAACTGAAAGAATGAACATGGAAAACCATTCTTGTTCAACCTACATGTATTTATTTTCAGTAGACTACAGTATTTTTCTTATTTTTCTCTTTTATTCTCTTTCCCTCTCCTGTTATCTGTATTTGTGATAATTTTTTGGCATTACTCCACTCTTCCTTTACTCCACATTCTGGTTTGGTTGTGATTCTTCCATGTTTTTCTTTCCCATTTCATGGTCACCTTGTTCTCCCATTTCTTTTGGTACTTTTATTGCATGTCCATCGTCCTTTCTCTTTTATTTTCCCTTCTCCCAAACTTCTTCCTTTTCACAGCATTGGAACACGGGAGATAGTCACCCAGAAGAACCTGAGTGGCTTGGTGCCCATCCGAGATTTCAGGCTAGACCCCAGTCTTCTCTACTCCATTCCTTTACTAGCTCTGAGCCCCAATTTACTGATTGTGTGGCTGTTTCTGAGCGTAGCATACCTGGTTGCCAGATTACGTTGCAAATGAAGACCAGTTAAAAAAAAAACAAAAAAACAAAAGCAAAACACAAAAAAATAAAGTGCTTGAATATGTATTGCCACTTGGTACCAACTGGACAAAGGAATGTCATAGCATTGTCTGCCAAGAATTATTATTATGCCTTACAATATTACGTTTATATTGTACTAAACTGTAAATAATACATCAGATTATTTTATCAAGAGGAATTGTATTGAAAGTTTAGACTGTTGTTATGCTTTCAGTGCTTGTAACATACTCTGACATTGGCCTGTTACCTCGTTACTTTTAGTCGGCCTGAAGATCAGTTTCTCTTACCAAATACTTCTCTTACATTCAGATATAAGAGTCTGTCACATATAGTTTTGTGTTACTTGTTTCATGTATTCCAGAGAAAGAAACTCTGTCTGACAAGAATTTGTATCTTTTTGTATATTCTTTAAATGTATGCTAATCTTGCCTTTCATTTTTACGAGGTATGAAGAGAAAAATTTAAAAAAATAGGTTGGGTTTATAACAGGTTTATCTAAACAAATATATCTAACGCCTTTCTACCTTCATTTCAAAGTATAATCTCTGAATTATAGTAGAAAACAGTTTGTAGAGCCATACTCTTGTTCCTTTCTCACATTTGAATCCAATCGTATAATATACCCATACCAAAAATAACTTGAATTGCAGTGTACTGCATGCAATATTATTATATTTATAGGTATACATTTTTGTAATATATTAAAGAAAATGACTCTCAGAAAGAAGAAAGAATGTAGTTGAAATAGGCTGCTAACCATCCATTATGTATTTCTTCCTCTTTGAAGAGATGCTCCATTTTTAAATTATAAAAAAAGAAATCCCAAAAGAGGAAGTTATTTTCTTAGACATGAGTGGCACTTGAGATTTCAGGTACAAAAAATGATGCATCCTTTGGAAAGTGATTATACTAAATTACAAAGCCAATGCGTTTTGAGGCAGTGACATGAGACCAAGTGCTAGCGGTAGCATTTTTTTTCTTAACTATTTGGCAAACACGAACATTTTTGTCTTGGAAGCTGTATAAGGGCAAAGACAGGTAAACAGCTAGTACCAAATTAATATGCAATTACAAAAGGAGACCAAAAGAGCTTTACTCATTTCACCAAAATGAAGGCTGATAGGAAATTTGATCATTGTCTAGAAATATTTAATGGGGTAAGAGTAAGCACCAGGAAAGGAGCAGAGCAGTTGAAGCAGAAGGATAACGTTGACATAAAAATAAACCGATAGAAACTGCCACCAACAAATTTAGGCTGGAAATAAGGAAAAAGCTTCTCGTCAACAAAGAAATAAGATTCTGGAACAGTCTTCCAGTAGAAATAATGGGGACAAGAAATCAATCTATCTTTAGGATGGAGCTTGGTAATTTTATGGAAAAGTTTATTATGAGTAGCCTGCAATAGCAAGGCACTAGACTTGATGACCCATCATGTCTTTTCCAGTTCTCTGTTTCTAATTTTTACCAGGATTATTCCTGTTGGCTCAAATAGGTCCATCTCAGCATTCAGAAAGGTAACTTTAATAGATTTTGAGAAGAATTTCTGACGGGTAATAATTAAAAATAAAAAACACATGAAAGACCAGTTTAGGATCTTAGAATAGAGTCCTAAATTCAGGAAATATTTAATTTCCTATTAAAACTAAATTGGAAAGTACATGGCTACAGTTTTTTACTTCACCAGATCAGTTTGTGCAGTGCACTGTCTCCTGGTTTCACTGTCATTATTTTTCCCCTTGTTATAGTTCACAATACCAAAACTGAATCTTTTTTTTTTTTATTGGAACAAATTTAATTAAAGCTTCAGGGCCAATGACATTAAAACCAGTACATGATGGCACTGGAAAGAACTAAACTTATGGAGGGCTGGTGTTCTGAAGGCATCAGTTGCTCTCCCACTATGTCCGATGATCACACTTTTCTGATTCCCGCCTTGGCTGTGCCCTGAATAACTTACTTGGGTGCCAAAGTCTGTGTTTGTATTACATGAATAATAAAATAAACCAAGGCAGTGGTGTAAAGTGGGGAAGAAGAAAGGTGGCATTCGTGTTCACAGCAGCAACCAGAAGCTACTGCTGCTGCTTTGCTTTGGGCACCCAGCTGCATCCTTTTGCTGCTGGACCAAGGACTAGTTCGTGCAAAGTATTGACCCCACTGGTCCCAGTGTAGCAGAGTGCTTATGTCATTTTGCGTATGTGCACTCCCCCCAGAAGTCACTGGAATTATTTGTGTGCTTAAAATGAAATATGCATGCGCACAGGCACACTAAACCAAGCCAGCAAAGCAATGGCAAGATCAAGTCCTACATTATACAAACTTCTCATGATGAAAAAACTTCAGGTCATCAACATCAGTGTGGAGTTAGACTGCAGCAAAGCCAAGATTCCATTCTTTATTTGTGACCTAAACTGTATTTCAATTCAGGCCTCCAGTTGAAATGCTGTGTTCATACTGCCCTCATACCTCCACCATAGGAAATTAATCCTTCATAAATATAGCCCATAAAAGTGAGTTGTGATGAGAGGTTGAGTCTTGCACAGTGTCAAGTACCTTTAACTCCTAGTGAAAATGGTAGTAGATGGCCAGCATTTCATGGGGTGCTTAGTTCTTTGCAGGCGCATCTACACGTTGCCTTACAGCAACGTTGTTACTGTGCGCATATGATGCAGTAACTGCCCATACTGCGCTGTACATGTGGTGAATAGTTATTTTTAGCCACTACTTCGCTGTAGCAGTACACCATAATGGGGGAGCATGCCACTACAGCAAAGTAGCTGTTGGTCATGTGTAGACACCTGCAGATGCTACACTGCCATAGCACATTACTGTGGCGGCATAGCATCATGTGTAGATGTGCCCTATGACCCAAACCCTTGTGATCTCTGAGAAGATCATCATTGTCACAGGAATTAAATTTATTTAATAAGCTTAAGAGCTGAGCTGTGTTCTTGACATTTCAGAATGCTTTTTATTATTTAGTAGCTTGGGTTGGCAGTATGAAGATACCACCAGTGAGTGTTGGCAGATACTAAAGAAACAATATATTTTAATTGATCTAAGGTAAAGAAAACCTCTAAATTTAAGGTAAAAATAATTACTGCTGTGCCTTTGTTTATCATTGCACATCAAAAGATATTTTGTATCACTTTTAAAATTACAGTAAAGCAGTGGTTCTCAACCTTTTTAGACTCAAGGGCTCCCGCAGAAAAAGCCAGCACTTAATTTTCACTACAGAAAAGTAATAGAGCCATTCTTCTATTGCAAAAAACTTAGAAAGACCATAATAGTTCCCAGAGATTTTAACGCTATGAATTCCTATTTGAAATCCTTAGGTTTATCTTGTGAATCATGTTTGCACACCTAGCAGTGCTAACATTTCATGGCTCCCCACAGCATCCTTGAAAATATCTTAAGCTACCCCAGAGTGCCATTGCACCCTGGTTGAGAATCACTGCAATAAAGGTTGAATCAAAGCCAGTTAAATTAATGAAACTTTACTCCATTTGAGTTTAATACATTGTTATCAACTCATCCTCATCACGTCTACAAATCTCAGTGGTAAAGCAAGGATTTCTGTTCACAGTGAGATATTACCAAAGAATGTGTTACTTAAAGGATTTTGGACTGTTGTTTCTGGTCAAACAGTGACTTCTGGACAAGGAGTTACAAGCTGATATAAGTTGACACGGTTCCATTGAAATGGTTTAAGCTCAGCTGATATATGTCTCAGCCGAAGATGTAGCACATAGTAAGAAGTTGGTATCAGAAAATGTTATGCCAAAAAAACCCCCAAAACAGAACAGCAACAAAAAACCCTAAAAGTCCTTGCAGGGGTGACAGGTGCCTCCTAAGTCTGGGGGGGCACAATTTGTGGGCGGGCCCGAGGGCGAAAGCGCCATATCCACTCCTATAGTTCTGTGCTGTGGCTTAGTGTCTCCCCCACCCCAAACACACTGCTGGCCTGCACAGCAAAAAACTGCCCTGTCCTGAACGTTGCTAAGTCGGAGGCCACCCTTGCGGGGGGGACACCACATGCCCCCCCATGCCTCCCCTACCAGTTGCCTGTGAATCCTTGCATTACCATTACAGTGCTTCACCTCATACATGTGCAATAACTAGATATGATAGATTGAATTCTGAACAGACACTTAAGACTGAGTACCCTACCTTTCTGGTGTGTGTTCCATGTTTACTTAACCTTATTGTTTAATGAGTAATTTAAAAAAAATATATGAATATATGTATATAATTTGTTCTAAACAACATAAAAATTAAAAACAAATCCTGCATAGAAATGTATTTTACACAATGGTTCCTTTGCAGCAGAATAATGCAAGACAAATAACAGGATCCATGTTGTAAACATATTTTTTGTTCATGTGTAGCAGACATTTCTCAAATTTCAGTAAGGTATTTTAGAAGAAAAAGCCAAAAGAATAAATGCAGTTAAACCAGGCAGCAAATTCTTACATAACCAGTTTGATTAACAAAGCTCAAATACGCCCAGCGATTTCCTGTTAATAACGGGAGGTTTTCAAACCTAATCAGATGCCAAATCCACCTTCTGAATGAAACTACCAAGGGGTTAGTTCAGAGGTGGGTAAAATGCGACCTGCGGGCCGGATGCAGCCCACCAGGCTATTCTGTCTGGCCCGCGGGGCCCCTAAAAAATTTAGAAAATTAATATCTGCCCCTGGCTGCCTGTCATGCGGCCCTTGATGGCTTGCCAACACTCAGTAAGCAGCCCTCTGCCCAAAATAATTGCCTTTCTCTGAGTTAGTTGGTACTATCTTTAAAATAGGAATTTCATAGCATTTCCACCACAGAATAGTGTACTGTACATTTAACCATCAAATTATAGCTTTAAACCATTATCATTGTTCATTTTTATATTATGTCGTTAGAAGGGAAAAAGAAAACACTCATGAGAATCTAGAAGAATTTGTAGTCTATATTAAAAATACTGTGCTTCCACTTTTTAAGACTTTTGTTTTTGGAATACAAGAATTTTGAAAAAGGAACTTTGCAGTAGATTTTAGAATTGGGGTACAGAAGCCTTATAACCGGGGTAGTCTTTGTTATCGCACAGAGCCTCCTCACAGTATAGGACAGCTATTTCACAGTATTAGAAAAGTTTGCACTTCAAACTGTATGCAGCTTTATATGATTGGGCAAATGACTGCAAATTATGCCAGTCTCTCTTTTGCATCTATATAAAGCTGCCAATTCAGGACTGAGATTCTGTTAGGAGACTATGTTTACTTTGTATGTGTAAATGGATATGAAAACCATTTGGAAAATCATTATTTTTGTATTAGCTATAACCTTTAAGTAAGCTCTGATAATAATGACATACAAGGAACAATAAAATTATTTTAAAACTTTTGTTCAGAGATCAGCAGGGTTTTTTTCTTTTTTTTCAAGTTAATTTACTAACAAACTAACTGAACTGTTTTTGAGCAATCTTTTGGGATTCTTTGTGCAATCTAGTGGCATTTAAACTTCACAGCAATGTACCCTGAAATACATGAAACCATCTTAAATATAAAATATTTGTTCCACCAGATACACTGCTGCTTTTTAGAAATGCAAAACAAGCAACTAAACATAGCATGTTTCCATTCTATGTGCTTCTCACTAGCATTGCTTGATGATTCACCGTTTTTAATATTTGCTGTGGCAAATGATTTAAACACCCATTAAAAGTAACCAACTTTTTTTTTAATGTTATGAAATAACCAGTTCATTTCATCTTAGTTTAAGTCGTTTGTTTATTTTTTTCCTTTTTACTGCTGTCATTTTTTGTGCTTGTTTTTTTTCCCCAGTGAGGGTTGTCGACGGGAAAATACAATGAAGAATGTTGGATGTCGCAAGTATGCATTTAATTCCCTGCAACTGAAGGCTTTCCCAAAGTATTACAGGCCTCCAGAAGGAACTTATGGAAAAGTTGAAACATAAACATACTGTGTCCTGTAGTTGCTGTTACATTAAAACATGCGGATCCATTCTAGTTTAATATATGAACTTGTCATCAAAACCAGATAAATACTTTTTTTGTACATTTCACTAGATCATATTGAGCATGTTACTTACTGAATTGGAATCTGTAGCAATGATTGTTCTGACACCTTAGCTTGAGAATAGCGTGATGACTCTCTGCCCATTTAAATAGCCTTCAGTGTATGTAAGGTGAATAAATACTGTATCATTGAATAATTGCATATATGCAACTAGCTAGGTCTCTCCTGGATGGCAAGGACTTTCTGAATGGCACTTAGGCAGCTGTTTCACCTAACATTTTTTTATACTGAGTTGACTTGAGATTGAACTTTTCATAATACTTTTTAAAATTGAGTGTGAAACCTCAAAATTGTAAATAATAAAGTGACTGGACCCTACACAGTCTGATAATTGCAGAATGCATTATTACAATCCAGAAACAAAAGTTTAATTTCAAGAAAAATCTCAGCACAATCAAAGTCAGGCATTAAAATGCTTTACTGTATAAATAATGCCACCTTTCCTGTAAAAAGCCATTAGTGTACAATGCCAGACACTTTACGTGAAGCCTCGTCCCATTTCAAATGAAGCCAAAATTTCCATTCCTTTCACTGGGAAAGGAATGGGCTCTCAGTTGCCTGATTTATTTTCAGCATTTTTTTCAAACATTTATGTTATGGCACTTTCTTAGCTGTTAATGCCAACAAACAAAATGCTAAATTTCAAATGCATTCTCATTTTCCACTACTGTAATTTATCAAGCAGCACAAGAAGCAAGCTGACAATGTTACACAAAAAATGCTCGATAACTTTTGCATTATTGTACAGTCAGTAACACATTTTCCCCAGGGCTTTTTATATCATTTCCAGGTTAATAGTATCTGATTTTTCTGGTATCATTTCCAATACCTGCCAGTGCAGCAATGCTGTATAAATGCTCATTGTTCCCAAAAATTCCACGGAAAAATGTGTTTCTGTTTAGTTTTGCATTTTACCCAGCTGAGCTTTGTCAGAATGACAGGCAGGGAATAGGAGTATCTTGCAATATTTCTGATTACGGTAGGGTTGTCCTGTTTTGATACAAAATAACTGTTAATGCTTTTAAGGGCATACTTGTTCCATCTCATCATGACTAAGGTGACCTGATAAGTATTTTGAGAAGAAATGTTCACTGGATCTCCTTGGAAACAGACTTTGCCAGGTTATAGAGTCTAAAAACAAGAGGAAACATGAACTTTCCAGAATTAACAGAATTCATCCTCCCTAGTATCACTGATCCCAGTATACAGCATTTAAAATGTCTATCTCTGTCCTTTTGGCTTTTAACCAGATAGGCCTGAGAATGAAAAATCTAGGGATCAGTTTATTCTTAACAGAATAGCAACATCCCAGTACATATATGACATTTTTTCTTTCTCCCTGGAGTTTATGTCCATGTTCTTCCTGTTCTATTGATTATGTTCATTAAGCTCCCATAAAAGTTTGGGGGTTTTAAGTAAAGCACTATTCACCTTTACTTGTTGCAGTTCACCCTTGAGCAGTGCACCTCACATGCCAGTTAGACTCTTTTGCTAAACTAACATTTGTTATTATTTCATCCTTATTAGAATAAAACAAGGAATTCTGTGTGAGATCGGAAGGTCTCTAGGAACTGGTGAAAGGTATTAATCGTCCTATCTCTGTTCTGAATAACTTACAGGTATAATCAAAACCCCTTAGGACGGACGGGGTGGGCAAAATGCGACCCGCCACCAACCCACTCTTTCTGGCCTGCAGGGCCCCTAACTATTCATTTTCTAAATTTTTTTATCTGCCCCTGGCTGCCTGTCGTGCAGCCCTGGATGGCTTGCCAAAACTCAGTAAGCGGCCCTCCGCCTGAAATAATTGCCTTCCCCTGCCTTAGGAACTCTGCAAACTCTGTTTTCCTTAATAAAACAGCCTGGCGGGGTTGTGTTGTGTTATGTTGTTTTGGTTTTTTGACAGGAGGTAAGAATGTGTGGTGAAAAGCCTTTCAGTTAGATTTCTGTGGATTCACATTATTTTCATTCATTTTGCTAAACTTGCTGTCCCTCTTCCATTATTAAATGCCACATTTATTTTGACGTAAACTAGACACTATAGATCTCTTAGTTTCTCACTGCTGACACGGAGCTGGCCAGTTTACATTCATATATTTTGATTATGTGGTTAAAATATATATAACATCTTAGCTTGTTGAACTCTTCTTCCACAGGAAGGAAGAATAATACAAGAGGGGCTGTTACAAGTATTGCTGATCTCTAATGTTTTGTAGCCAATAATCATAAAATCCTCTCTAAATTATAGTTATACTTTATTTTGTAAATGTATTCTGAATTCCCAAATTCTTTACATGTATGCTTTTTGATCCCCTTTTTTAAGCAGCAGAGCATCAATCTTCTATATTGCATTATTCTGCAGAGAAGACTTTGGTTTCCATATACTTCTATATACAATATTGTTACTACATGCACGTAAATAGGCTTGCTTAAAGGGCATATTGAACAATAAGATCTTGAGCAGTTCATCAAAAAGAAAAAACTGAAATTTTAAAATCATAATGGAAACTTTACAGGAGAGTTTAAGCTTTTCCATTGCACAGGAAAGGCAATCTTAAAGATTACTGTAAAATGGAGTTCTGTCTTATGTTCCTTTTAGTATATTTTTAAAATTATAAAACATACTAAGGTAAAAACCTGTTGCCAGGTATGTTCTGTGTATGTTCTGTGAAAGCACCTACAGCACAGTTGCCTTTTGTTTCATTTATATATGTAAAATTATTGTATAATACAACACTGTTGTGTCCCAACACAGTTGTACTTGCCGAGCTTTGTGCATTAAAATATTTTTATTTATTTGTTTTTGGGCAGTATTAATATATCATAAACATGGCTACCTGTTTTGTATATTCCTAGTTCATCCAATCATGTATGCTGTAAATGTGCTAGTCCTTAGAATGAGAAACAATAAAGAACTGACAAGAACCCCATGATAGTGACTTATTTTTAAATGAATCAATTTGTGGCAAACCAAACCAGTTCTCAACCCCCAAACTGGCCTTTCTGATGATATTTATCTGATAGAGAAAGTCTTTACATTTTTACATGAATTACAAAGTATCTGCTTACTTTAAGTCCTGCTAAAACACAGTGGTGAACCATGCACTTTAGTTTACAACACAGTTAAACCAGGGATGAATTTAGTTCAATATTCTGTGTAGACTTCACAGTGACATTTAACAGGTAAGTTGCATGAGTCATGATTTCCCTCTTTACTGCACAGCGTCTCTTAAAAGTTTCTCAAAGCCATCTTCTCTCTGCTGACTGCTTCCCTTCCATTTCTAACCCTTTCTTTCTCCAAGCCCATTCGTAGCATCTGCCAAAGTAGGCTGTTGCCTATGGATGTCAACCAGCTTTCACAGGACCTGGTTTAGGTTTAGATGGTTTGCTTTAAGGTAAGGATCGGTTGATTAACATCGGTTAGGTCACTCAAAACGTAATGCTTGTAGTACCCTATGGAAGCACATGCCTCTCTGAACCACTTTCATAGTCATTAAAGTACCATCCTGCTCTACCTTCTGCCTTCCATTTATAGGATCCCTTCTCTTCCCCTACTTTCGCAGCAGCATGATCTCTACAAGCTTGGCTTTTTGATTCCTTGCTGTTTTCTCTGTTTTCTACCCTACGGCTGGCATTCATTGCTTACACGGTGTAACGCAGTGGTTCCCAACCTCTTTTATACTGCGGACCAGCAAATTCACTCGAAGGATTTTGGCGGACCGGGTATAGAAACAATCCAATTTACATATTTAAATATTAACTGTCTAAATATGTGAATTTTGTACATATTTAAATTTGTACCTGGGTGCAGGTTGAGGCCACCGGGGGACCCTGCAGTGGAGGGGCTGTGCAGGTGGTGGCCCGGGGGGACCCAGCTGGGGCTGCCCGGATAGAAGGGGCTCCGCTACCTTCCCGAGGAGCAAGCAGCAGAGCTGCCTCCCCACCCTCTGCCCTGGGCATTTCCCCACCCACATCCCCCTGCTCCCAGCTGTGGGTGGGGCTGGAGGGACCTGCCCAGCCTGGTGTGGGCCCCAGTACCTACTGTGCAGGCAGTGCCTCACCGGGCATGGGTGCAGCCATGGTGGCACGAGCAGGACGGGGCACACACAGCCATCTGCTTCCCTCCCAGGTCTGACTCGCTGCCCAGTTTTAACCCTGCATGTGACCGCTGGTAGCAGAAGCTGCTCACCCAGGTGGACAGATGGGGATCTGAGAAAGGGGCTTGTGCCACTACCTGGCAGCCAACCCTTCGCAGCCTGGTACCGGGTCACAGCCTGCTGGTTGGGAACCTCTGGTGTAAACGTTCTGCTTGCAAGGCCCTTATCTCTCCATTTGTGTGAATGGGAGTTACTTAGATCCTGAAGGGAGCGGACCCCTTTCTGAGTAGGTGAACGTCATTTTGTTGTCGGTTTGATTAAATTCTGTGTGATGGTATAACAGACCGTAAGCCAAACTTTCCAGGTTAATTGCATTATTTTCTACTTTGTCATTCTTGTTTTAAGAATGGCAGCTGTTTTGTTACACTGAAAGAGTATCAGACTACAAGCTTACTGCACCTAGCAAGGATACGATAAACTCGCTGACACCCAGAAACTCCCTGTGCTTCTCTGTGTGCACTTTTGTTCCGACTGGAAGCAGCGTAGCTGCATTTGTTAACACCAGAGGCCGGCTAATTGGCAGTTTCCCTCAGTGGTGCTAATGAGCTTGCCCCTGGTGCTGCACAGCTACAGAAGTTGCTTCTGGTTGGAGTAGCATACCAGAGGAGTGCCGAACCTTTGCAGAGCCGGCTGCCAGGTATGGAAAATTTGCCATGTAGGTGCAGCTTCAGAAGATTTCGGGTATAATTAAGGATAAATTGCAAAGTAATGCCCAAGAAGGAGATGATTTGTTGCAAATGAAGAGGAACTGCACTTCTTCACTTTGATATTTGTACCGGAGTTTGGCATTGAATTTTCTGGTTTTTACAAATATGTCTAATGTACAACTGATTGAAAGAACAGTGGAAAGACATAAGGGCTGCCATACTCTGGCTGGATGAGATTAACTTCTAGTCAGTCAGTCAGGTTGAGACTAAGGAGCTAAGTTGTGCTTATGCCTTGTGCTGACCTTCTGCCCAGGGATGAATTTCACCCACTGTACATCAGCATCCTGGATAGTAGTAATATAGTAGTAAAGAAAATTCTCAGCACAGCTTATAAAAAGAATATATATTTTATTTATGGAACTGGGATTATATAAATGTGTAAAAAGATGTTGATAATGATGCAGAGTACAGCTTATATTAAACTTGTTACAAAAACCATTAATCGGTGATACAGTTGTTTTATCCATTAGATTTTGTGTACTAACATGATAACCTGCCCTTTCAGGAATCATCAGGAGCTGTTTTCAGACACAATAAATGTCTTTCAGATCAAATACTTGAGCATCTCATTCTGTTTATTAAAGCATTGTCACTTGTTCCCTGCTTCGTGGTGTTTAGGGGGATGGGGATTCTGAAATCATGAACGTGTTGTGACTGTTTTAAATATGTAAGAATATTTATGAATTGTTTTGCCTGTTTGCAGCTGCATATATGCCCCATCTCCATGTGTGTCTTGTCCATTGTCAAGAACAGGAGATCTGTGGGAGGGCCATGAAACTCCAGGTGGATCAAGGAACACCTCTTGAGACACCAAGCCCTTTCTAAGAACAGTGCTCCTGAGCTGAGTAGGACATGGTAGGAGCAACTCCAGGGTTTGATGAGGAACCAGAATCAGTAACATTGCTTCCATGTGGTTTTCCTCAGTAGTTTTTTTTATGGGGGCATATAGCTCAAAGACAGGTATTTTTCTTCGCTATATGGATGTTTAGAGCACTTCAGAAAGGTGTTATGGTGTTGGAAGTATGAACTACTTAAGAAAGCCTTGACAATTAAAATCATCTTTTTAAAGTGCTGATGAAATCAATCATTTTATAAACTGATACAGTATAGAAAGGCCCAGATAAAAAGCCATGAAAATTAGGTTTAATGAGAAATTACAAGCTACTGATGGGGGGGAGAGGGATGAAGGATATATTTTGCAAGCTTCCCAATCAGAAGAATGTGTAGCTATTTTTTGGTAATTTATATTACTTTTAAGAAAGCATAAAATA